AGGAATAAGAAACAGGGGTATAACAGAGACAGACAGACAAGACAGACTTTGCCAACCAGTTCAAGCACTTGGAAGCAAGCCAAAGCCTGTAACTGGTGACCTTATTGAAATTTAGGACAATCACTTTTCAAATAAAAGGTAACACTGACCAGTCTTAACAGGTAGTTTCAGACTGAAGTGTTTAACTTTTATAATTTAGCTTCACTACTTTTGCCATTTTTTTGAAGGTATTTAGTTAAGCATTTCCTGCCACATTTTGCCCTCCTATTTGACCTTGAATGAATAGCTGTCAGAACAAGTCAGAGTTGTCAGCATCAGTTATTTGAATGGGAATGGATGGAGAAGTCTTAAACAAAGGATTATGATTTCACTGCAGCATAAGGGAGTTAGGTTAAGAGCTCTTGTTCACACAGAAATGTCACCAAAAGCAGAAAAATTAACTAAAAATATAAAGTACTAATACATTGTGTTAGTAATTTTTAGAATTTTTTTCCACTGTCATAGACATTCAAGTGCATGCTTTTAGTTATCTAAGTTATTCTCCAAGGCATGCATGATTTGCTTACATGTTTTATAGTTCTTATGCTCATTTTTGTCAGCATAAGAATCTGGACTTTATGAAAAATGCTTAGAGATTTGAAAAAGAGTGCTGGATAGGAGCACATACCACCACCACCACAAAAATACCACCATCTTTATACCACCACCATAAAAATAGCACAAAACATCACATATTTATATAATGTACATGAATCAGTCAAAAAGTCATGCTACTAGACAGAAAATGTAACCACAGCTGCTTACAAGTACAGCTGTCTGCCCTAAATCTACAGAAGAATAAATTATGTAAAAGAAACAGGGTCAAAGTAAAAAATATGTAGTAACTAATGCCAGTTCTGAATTAGCAAAATGTGTTTCCCTCTCCTGTGCTATTAATACTGGAATGGGAGTAAATATTTAGGTCATAAAACAGCCAAAATGTTATCATGACATTGTAGTTGGTGCCCTGTTGATTTATGCATGTCACAGTGTCTATACTCTCCCAAGACTAACTGAACTTAATTAAGGACTTCTAAATTATCAGGACATGAATTATGAAATAGGAAACTGGTAAATTTCACATTAAGAAAATCAGAGTTCAAAATAATGTAATGCCTCAGGAGAAGAGCAGCATGAAGGCAACACAACATTTCCAGAACAACACTTAAAACAAAGCACTTAGCCAAATCCCAAAAGGATTCCTCTTGCCCACACATCTTTCACTTCAGTTATCTTAAGGGTCCCATCCTGCTCTTGCTGAAATAAATGACTAAACTTCCACTAACCTAAATGAAACAGAATTAGCCCTTAAGCATGGCACAATCCTACAGTGGTTTCTATCTAGATAAAGCAACATTGGGCAATGTAATATGAAAGGCAGCATAATTAGTTACCTTGTAAAAGTCACAGATCTTTAATTTCTAAGGAACTCGGGCATCAATGAAGGGCTATCCCATTTTAGTTGGAGTGGAAGAGAATTCTGGATATATAGTAGTTATAGCTTTGATTAACTTTTAGTTATCTTGATCACCTAATCTAGCTTCTTCTTTTTAATACCATAAACTTGAAGATGAATGCTCCCTAACTGTAATCTTTATATTTCCAACTGTATTGCTAATTCAGAACTGGCATTATTTACTACATATTTATTACTTTGACCCTGTTTCTTTTACATAATTTATTCTTCTGTAGATTTAGGGCAGACAGCTTATACCTGCTGAAGTTTCATGTTATGAGTTTAGGAAAGAGCTGACAAACTAGTGTAAAGTATTTTTGCCTGCAACTTTGCAACAAAAAGATCCAACAAACTGCAAAAACACTTTTTTTTCCTTAAGGGGGAGGGTGGAAGGGAGCATGGGGGAAGAACACCACAAAAATTCAATGTCCTTCCTATCAACAATTCCATCTAAATGTTTGAGTACTTATACCATCCCCTATATAGGCCTCTGGAAACAGATCATTAATTCAGAAGTCAGGTATTTTCAGATCTAATCAACGTTGTAATAATTTTCTGTCAAATACTTGATATCATCAAGTCCAGAATTAGAACCCCAACTGTAGTCCCATGCCTTATTCACTAATGCACAACACCAAAAATAAATAACTGGGTCTCAGTTTCCAATAACTGTAGTGGCAATTAAATTCCCATAGGCAAGAATAAAACATATACCGTACAGGATTTAAGATATCCACATCTACACATAAGTAAGTGCTAAGAAAGGAATATATGTACTGAACCCAGAAACAGGAAGCAGGAGTCACAGCTTGTAAGTGCCACAATTTTCTGCAAGTGTGTTTTATGAAGAAGACATTAAAACACACTTAGCTCTATAGAACAAAGCTGTTCAGATATACTTTTGTACCTTGTGTCTCTCCCCAGCTCTGATTTCTTGCTTTACTACATATTAGAGCATTGCTTGGAATTAGTCACCAGCAATTATATAGCAAGAGATTTTGGAACACAGTCTCGGTATTGTTTCGCACTACTTTGCAATTTCCTGGTTTACAGAGACTGTAAGAGTCACTGCAGACAACTTCAACAGATTGTAAAAACCTGATATGAAGACAAGCCACTACATAGCTCATATTAATCATCATGTATGGTAAATAACTTGTCTGCCCCATCAAAAGCAAATAGAAAACTGCTGCCTTTGTTTAAGCTACATTTTTTACTTCATACACACGCTCCATAAATTGTTCACTTTGCAACTGTTTGTAGAAACTCTTCTAATTAATTTTAAAAAAATTGTGATCTAAAGATATATACTTTTTTTTCTTTTTTTACAGGCACCTGCACTTTGTGCGACTATACAAAATATACCTGCTCAGGAAGTCAAGAGGCACACCAAACAGCATTCTGTTGCTCAGCATGATTGTTGCTCAATTAAAGAAAAAATACTCCACAGACCAAAGTGAAACAGCAGCTGCAACCCTTGAGATAAAATGGAATGGTCTCTTCTTATCAAGGCTGTGTATTAACAGTTCTACTGTTGTATTACATATCAGCGATGTATTATCTATCTGATTGACAATTACATTTTTTTAGATTTATAGATAGAGGCTTTACCACTGCAACTAAAAGGAGTATTTTAACATATTCTATTAAGTGTGCGCTAGTATATTTCATTATATGGGGACAATATGTAAATACTGGAAGCTTCCAGGAATACCACATCAGTGGGTATAAATTTTCCTTATACCTTAAATATATTCCTATACTGCACTACAAATCATATTCAAATTTACATTCATGCTTTTCTCATCCTTGTTATAAATCGCACTAAAGGAAAAAAATAAAACTATATCATCCATTCAAACAGAACCTGAGAGACAATGTCTGGTGCGTATTATTTTACTAAGGACTTAAATGGACAAGAAAATGGAAATCATGATTTTTCCCCTAAGAATTTCCCTTTATGTTTAGCCATCCCTATCTGGAACAACAGGATAAACAGATGCTTCTAGAGCAGCAACACTACCTGTTATGAAAGTTAAGTTAAATAATAGCATTTTATTTGTGCTTTATTTTTTTAATTAGCTTTCCATAGTGTACCTGCAAGTCTGCTATTGCTTTTTATGATTAGAAAAAAGAAAAATGAACCACGTGGCTGTAACATCCCAAAGAAGGGAAACCTTCAGTAGATGAATGAAGCTCTGAGCATTATTTATTGAAGATGTTAGGTTAGTGTTTTCTGAAAGTAATTGTTTATCAACAACAAACAAATTTCATTTAGATTTCAACGCGCTAAAATACTTATATGTATAGTTAGAGTTAACTTGTTTCATGCACAGACCTAAAAGGAATGGCCCATAAAGTGTTTAGAGTCCTTAAAAGGCATCACTGAAACGTTGACAGTGCGTTTAAACTATTTGCTAACTTGACTTTAGAACGCTGTAGAATGTGGAAGCTATGTGGACCACGCATTCAATTGGTTTTAGGCACCAACTCTGGCAGCAGAGATGCTACACATTTGGGGAATAAAAGATCTTGTGTTGTGCTCCCTTCAAAGTTATAATGGAGCTTTAAGGTAATTGTAAGTTGAGATGATGATATTAGTTTTCACTGCAGGTTAATTCCACTACGAACCCTACGATGTTTTTTGTTAAGTGTAGCTCTCCCTGCATTAAAAGGCAGAGTTGTTTTTGCTTTTATAGAGACAAACACACAAAGCGCATTTATGGGTTAACCTTGCATTGGGGCAGCCTCCAAGCTAGCAGCAGCTTCCTGCTGTGCTGCTTCCACAGCAAGGGATGCATCTGCACCTGGCAATTCTTTTTCTCCTTCAGTTTCCATGGCCACCTCCTTCTGTTCTGTAGGCCCATCAGCAGGTGCTGCTTCAACTTCTTCTGCAGCTACAGCTACAGTCTCCTCCTTTGCTTCAGTGACTTCAGCTGAGTCTTCTTCATTACCTTTTAAAGGATGTATGTAATACGATAAAGAAGGCATACAATGCACACATGCAACACAAGTATGAGCTCACCAGTTGCTTTCACCATCTTAGTTTTTCATCTGGATTTTAAATAAGCTTCAAAGTTGAGATTTGGCCTACAAAACTCAAGTAACCCAAAGTTATTGTTCCACATCAGTTAATATGGTACTAGAAATGACCCAGGCTCATGAAACTGGATTCTACTTGGTTTGACGGCATAAAGCAAGTGATTGAACAAAAAGTGTTAACAATCATGCAAGAGGGATACAAAGTGTATGGGACTGAACCTGGTCTTACTGAAGGCATCAAAAAAAAAAAAAAAAGAGAGAGAGGAGACACAGGTTGACTTCATGGGGAAAAGGGATAGAGTCCTAGGAGCAGTTAATTTAAATATGCCATAAAACAGATCCACTTTTATGCTTAGAATCTTTTAGACAGTTTAGTACATCAGAGATACAAATTAAAGATATGTACATAAACAGCTGTCATGCTTGTGACTACCATGGATGTACCCAAAGTAGCTTTAAAATGGCAAAAATTGGGTAGGGTGGCAGTAACCTGGACCTTGGCTTAAGTTAGTCACGTAGATACTCATCCTGTTTCTTGAGGGGTTTTGCTGCCTGACTGAGCTCTGTGCTGCCACGGCCAGGCTGTTCTTCCTACCCAAGCTACCAGGCTCAGAGCTACCTCATGTCCATATGATTGATCTTTCTCTTGTTTCCAAAGCTAAGTTCTCTCTGAGATTTGTCTACACTGCCGTGGGTAAACCTGTTCGGAGAACCCAGTGTGACTTCATGTGAAAGCATTACTTTAGCCTTGACTAGGGGGTAAACCATCAAAAATGAATATGGTCCAGAGCAAGAAAAAGACCACACACACAAATATACCACACAAGCATGCACAACCACTGCACAAGGTAACTATGTGGTACAGTTAGTTTATCCTTAGAGCAGGCCCAAGTCACCATATGAAGAACAGAACAGGAAATAAAACATTGTAATATAGCCTCAAGGCAAAGGAGAGGCTAAAAAAGAGAGCTTAAAGAAACACTCTCAGATGCTCTAAAAGAAAATTCAATTTTAAATACCGTATTTACTCAAATCTAAGATGAGGTCTTCCCCGCCCCCCCTCAGCGGGGTGGGGAGGGGGTCATCTTAGATTTGCATACAAGGCAGAATGGGGGCACATGGCTGCAGCAGCTCTGACTCTGGCCCTGAGGCCAGGTCAGGGCCAGAGTCAAAACCACAGCATCCTCTTGCCTCCCCACCTCCGGTTGCTCTCTGCAGCTTCTGCCCCCTCCTCCCCCCTTCCTGTCAGGTACAGCTCATCTCTGGATCAGGCTGGGTTACATCCAGGGCACAGAACACATGGAAACTCTTT